CCAATCCAACCAATCGATCCCCCGACCGTCTGTTGTGTTCACCATCAATCTGTTGTGTTCATCATCAATTTATTGTGTTCTTCCCCAATAAGCAGATTCAATTCAATTCAATCTTCGACTTATTTCTTGTTCAACACATAGCAAAATATCACTGAGAGGAAAAAAAACTTTGTATTACTTTCTAGATTTTTACTTCAGTCATTACCTTCGTTCCTTTACTAGTACATATTATCGTTCGCTGTTACCACATATGTTGTGGAATGCTAAAGAAAATATTCGACCAGCAAAATATTTGAATTTCACAGTCCAAAATCACAATTCGACTCGCTCCGGAGTTAATAACTATGTCCACTTCCCGTGCTGAGCTGGCATCCAGTATCCACTCCGATGCTATTTAAAACTGTGTTTAGTGGGTCTTCCAATCGATCGAGTTTCTAATCGGATATGCGCAGGCTGAAAACGTTTGCGTTATGATTTCTCAAATTTGGCGATGTTTCGATTGCAAAGTCAATCTCTTCTATTCCTACTCCACAGTAGAACGGATCTTGAGGAAGAGATGCACAGAACAGAACAGAATAGCTGGCCAATAAAAGAATCTGCCAAAAATGTGCAATAGAAATATCACTGCTCAAAATGGCCTCACCTAGAGAAGTGATTCTTACAGTAAGGTGGAAATCTTGTCTTGTTGAAGAACATGTGGGGTATCTACGGAGCTGAGAAATTCACATGGATGGCAGCTCATTGCTGAGTGGTTTTTATTCATAAGTCTTCTATAGTTGTCCAATAATGCTTGCAAAATGTTACTTCAAGTTCAACAAATGAGTTTCTTTCGTAAAACATATGCACGATCTCATTGCATAAAACTTCTGGATCAGTGGAATTGAACTGTCGATTTTTGTGGTTTTCGATTGTCTCCAAGATGCAAAAGAATTTCAATGGAGAGAAAACTGTTGGAGGTATAGAATGGCGATCCGCAATATGACCAAAGCAGAGTTACGAACGCAAAGGTGTCAGAACAACTTTTTAGAATTTAAATTTTACCAGCACGACTCCGCTTCTCTTCGGTGATCGCTTAAATACGAATTGAATGATGGACTGACGGAGTGACCTGAAACTAAGAAAACGTATTGAAATAGCTAAGGATCGAGCGAAATAGAAGCGAAGACCTCGCATGTCCAACAGGCTTTATT